CTCATGATGAAAAATACTATCAACCTTCAGGGAGTGATGAACTCTGCTGACTGAGGCATACTTTTTCATTTTCTTTATTATTCTTGCCTTTTTTTTTTTGCAACATAGCTAATGTGGAAATATATTTTGCATAACTTCACATACATAACTGATATATTGCTTGCCTTATTAATGGATGGGTTGAGGGAGAGAGAGAATTTGGAACTCAAAATTTTTAAAAATGTTACAAATAAAAAGCTAGACAATTTCAGTGGGGGGGGCAGAGCCAAGATGGCAGAGTGAAAGCAGTGACTTGCTTGAGCTCTCCCCCAAACCCCTCCAAATACGCATAAAAAATGTCTCTAAACAAATTCTGAAGCAGCAGAACCCACAAAAAGACAGAGTGAAACAAATTTCCAGCCCAAGACAACCTGGATGATTGATCAGAAAGGTGTATTGCGCTGGGCTGGGAGCGCAGCACAGCGCAGTGTGGGCACGCAGACCGCAGAGAACCTGGAGCAGGCCTCAGAGGAGTGAATCAAGGGCAGCTATGGAGGTTTCCAGACTCCTCAATCCATGAATGCCAAAGACAACTTAGAAGGTTAGTGGGAAAAGTCTGTTTCTGTCGGTGCTGAGACAGGAAGGTGGGGTTTCAGCTCCATTCCCCAAGAGCGTGGCCCGGGGGGGGCAGCTGCTTCCCGAGCTTCCAGCCCACAGACTGAGGGGGAATCCAGTGGCTGATCAGAGAGGGACTGCAGGGATCTCTTTGCCAGTGCTGAGGTAGGAATCTCTTGCTTTGCCCCTGTTTGGATCTGGGTCACAGTTCTGGGCGGCGTGCTGGGGTGAGGAGGACGCTGGCATGGTAGCTTGAGTGGCTGTGGAGAGGAACCCTCCTCACAGTTACAGGACAGAAAGGAATACTTGTGGTCACAGGCCAGGAAAGGAGTAAACACCTCGCCCCTTATCATACCACCTTGGAAGAACTGAAAATTTACAGGTCCCTACAAGTATCTCTGAAAACAGCTATACAAACCCCTGAAGCTTGGGACAGTACATTCTCCACATTGGAAGCAGACTCTTACCTTAACAAAGAGTTTAAAACTCAAGTAATTGGCTGGGATCATGAGCAAGCAGCACAAAAAGAGTCAGACTATATTATCTTACTTTGGTGAAAAAGAAGATCAAAATATACAACCAGAAGAAGACAACAAAGTCAAAGCTCCTACATCCAAAGCCTCCAAGAAAAATATGAATCAGTCCCAGGCCTTGGAAGAGCTCAAAAGGGATTTTGAGAAGCAAGTAAGGAAGTAGAGGAAAAACTGAGAGTGATGCAAGAAAATCATGAAAAACAAGTCAACAGCTTGCTAAAGGAGACCCAAAAAATACTGAAGAAAATAACACCTTAAAAAATAGCCTAACCCAAATGGCAAAAGAGGTCCAAAAAGCCAATGAGGAGAAAAATGCCCTAAAAAGAAAAATTGGCCAAATGGAAAAGGAAGTCCAAAAGATTACTGAAGAAAATACTTCCTTAAAAATTAGAATAGAGCAATTGGAAGATAGTGACTTTATGAGAAATCAAGACACTGTAAAACAAATCCAAAAGAATGAAAAATTAGAAAACAATGTGAAATATCTCATTGGAAAAACAACTGACCTGGAAAATAGATCCAGGAGAGAGAATTTAAAAATTATTGGACTATCTGAAAGCCATGATCAAAAAAAGAGCCTAGACATCATCTTTCAAGAAATTATCAAGGAAAACTGCCCTGATATATTAGAACCAGAGGGCAAAATAGAAATTGAAAGAATCCACAGATCTCCTCCTGAAAGAGATCCCCAAAGGAAAACTCCTAGGAATATTGTAGCCAAATTCCAGAGTTCCCAGGTCAAGTAGAAAATATTACAAGCTGCCAGAAGGAAATATTTCAAGTACTGTGGAAACACAATCAGGATAACACAAGATTTAGCAGCTTCTACATTAAAGGACGCAGGGCATGGAATATAATATTCCAGAGGGCAAAGGAGATAGGATTACAACCAAGAATCACCTACCCAGCAAAACTGAGTATAATCCTTCAGGGGAAAAAATGGTCATTCAGTGAAATAGAGGACTTTCAAGCATTCTTGATGAAAAGACCAGAGCTGAATAGAAAATTTGACTTTCAAATACAGGACTCAGTGGAACATGAAGAGGCAAACAAGAAAGAGAAATCATAAGGGACTTATTAAGATTGAACTGTTTACATTCCTGCATGGAAAGACAATATTTATAACTCATGAGACCTTTGTCAGTATTAGGGTAGTTGGAGGAAAAAAATTATATGTATGTATATGTAGATAGATAGATAGAGGGCACAGGGTGAGTTGAAGATTAAGGGGTCATATCTGGAGAATAAAATTAAGGGATGAGAGAGGATGATACTCGGAGAAGAAGAAAGGGAGAGGTAGAATGGGGTAAATTATCTCACAAAAAAAAAAACAGAAAAGTCTCTTACAGTGGAGGGGAAACGGGGAAGGTGAGAGGGAATGAGGAATCTTATTCTCATAGGATTTGGCTTAAGGAGGAATAACATACACATTCAATTGGGTATGGAAATCTGTCTTACCCTACAGGAAAATAGGGGGAGAAGGGGACAAGAGAGCAGGGGGATGATAGAGAGGAGGGCAGATTGGGAAAGGGAGTAATCAGAAGTATCAAAAGAAAGAACAGAATAAATGGGAGGGCAGGATAGTATTAAGGGAAATAGAGTTATTTTTTCACATGTCTACTATGGATATGTTTTGCATAACTGCACATGTACAACCTATATTGAGTTGCTTGCCTTTTCAATGAGGTGGGTTGGGGAGGAAGAGAGAAAATTTGAAACCTACAGTTTTAAAAACATATGTTTAAAAAAATTTTTTTCACATGCTACTGGGAAATAAGAAATACAGGAAATGGGGTACAGAAGTCTATCCTGCCCTACAGGAAAATAGAAGGGGAAGGGGATAAGAGAAGGGGAGAGAGATAGAAGAGAGGACAGACTAGGGGAAGGGTATTCAGAATGCATGCCATCTTCATGCATGTTGGGGGTGGGGGAGGGGAGGGTGGAAATTTGGAATTCAAAAACTTGTGGGAGTGAATGCTGAAAGCTAAAAATAAATAAATTTATCTTAAAAAAAATAACAAATAAAAAATAGAAAAAAAAATTTCAATGTGAGCCACACCTCAGACATCAGCAAGCGCTACAAACAACAGTCTGATATATTGTTTTGTTGACTGGCTCTAGTAGACTAAAGCGAAGAAAATGTTAATAATGCAAATTAAACTTTATTAGCTTGCTATGCCTTGCACCCGTCCTCTTCTTCCTCCTCTCTCCACCTTCACCCTAGTATAGACCCTTAGCATCTGCCTACACCATTCTTGTTCTTGTTGATGTCGTTTCAGTCATGTCTGACTATTCCTGACCCCCTTTGGGGTTTTCTTGGCAGAGTTACTGGAGTGGTTGGCCATTTCCTTCTCCAGCTCATTTGACAGATGAGGAAATTGAAGCAAACAGGGTTAAGTGACTTATCCAGTCACAGCTAGTGTCTGACGTTAGATTTGAACTCAGGTCCTCCTGACTCCAGGTCTGGAGCTCTACCTACACCACTTTATTAACTTTCTAACAAGTTTTACTGCTACCATCTCTGATCCCTCCAATCCATCCCTTATGTATATTCCTTGGCTTTAAACCCTTTAGCAGGTCTTTAATGTTTATCAAGTAAAATTCAAACTCCTGACCCTGGTATTGGAGGCCTTCTTTAATGTGGCACCTCCCTCTTTCCTCTTAAGCATTCCCATATTACTCACTCCCGTGTACTCTTATGCTCCAGCCAAACTGGACTATTCACCATAACCTGTAAACATCTCTTTTCTGCTTCTGTGCCTGTCTCATCCTACCATTCTTTAAAATACAACTCAGAAGTCACCTCTTCCACAAAGCCTTCCTAGGTATTTCTAGTCAATGAGGATCTTTCCCTCCTCAGACCTCAAACACCCTATGTGCACCTGTCTTATGCATTTATGTACTAAAAGTCCTTAGGTATGGATTCTATCCCTTTGAGTTTCCTAGACTATAACCTGACCAGACTGAGGGAGGGCAGGGACCATGTCTTACCTAAACTTTCTATCTCACAGTGTGTTCTACACACAGGAAAGCCTTAATCGTTGTGGCTGAATTGAGCTGAGGCTCTGGGCTTGATCAGATGGCATCCCTACTCCCGTCTCTGCCCACTCCCCCCTCCATAAACAGTTCAGATGACAAGAGTACAAGTTTACTAGCAGCCAGCGCTGACTCTCAGGCCAAGCCACTCCAAAAGGGTTCTCCCAGCACAAAGCCACAGCTGAAAGGAGCCTCAATGAATCGAGAGATATTATCCAGGTCTCACCCTGATTTCCCTTCAAATGGTCACTTAGCTCTTCCTTCTTGGTCCCTGTCTTTTCTAATGGAAACCTCCCACCGTTATGGAGCATCTCATTTTAGGAATAAGTCCTGGAGCCCTCGGTTCTATCTTAAGAAGACAAAAGTATGTTTGCTTGTCTATATAACAGGAGATAGTAAAAAAACAGAGGGTGGGAACTTGAAAAAAGACTTGACAATTGCAGCACCAAAAAACCCTAACATTAAGGAAGCAAAGTTCACTCCCTGAGGAGAGATTATACACTAAAAACAAAGACTTGGAAAGGGGTTAGATAGAGTCATGGCCGACTGCAACTTTCATGTTTTAAGAGTCAACCCTAGACTCTTAAATTGTGTTTGGGAGGAGAACCACCCTTTTCCACAAGTGTCCTATAGCGGCCCTATTAGAAAACGAATCTTGGAGGATGGATGGTGGACCTATCCAGCATGGCAGTTCTTAGGTCCTGGGAGATGATTACTTTCCCTACAGAACTGGAGAGTTAACCCTAGGCTTTCCCAGGTATAGCCCTGCAGGGTTACCCAGACCTACCTGTGTGTCTCAGCTGTCCCGCCGCCTCCACACAATAGGCTGTGAAAGTCTCAGTTTTATTTTCTTTATTTAATATATTGCACAATCAGGCCTTGAATCCTTAGATCACAACTGAAAATGTAAATTGTTGGGGCAAGGGTGATCTGTATCCTTACAAAAAAACAATTATTGCTTCTGAAAAGAACAGGCTGGCTAAGTTTGTCAAGCACCTTGAGGAATCGATGTGTGTCAGTGCAGAGCTCAGTATTGCTGGAGAAAGGAAACGTGTCATAAGAGTAAGGGAGAAGTGGACTGGAGAACCCTGGCTAGGAGCCTGAGGCTGGGAGACGTGGAGAAGAGCAAACGGGGAGGCCTAGTCTCACCTACTGAATGAGGAGGAGCAGGGGAGGCAAGAAGGTGCAATGAAATGCCCATAACAGGATGCCCAGGAACGGACTCTGGCCTCTCCCCCAGGGGAGACGACAGCCCATTAGAGGGCCTGAGCCCCACAGGATCAGTTTCAGTTGTAAAATGTTTTAAGTTACAAAACGGGAGGGGATTCTGCTACAAAGAACAAGGGACAAGCATGTGGCCAGAGACAACATGGTACATTTGGGTAGTCTTCCTGAGTTGGCGATGGAGAAGATCCTGAGGCTGGCAGCTACAAGCCAGCTTGAGGGGGCGGGGAGGGGCCTGGAGCTCAGGCAGGGCAGGGATGGGTCGAGAGAGACATCAAATCACAGTCAAAATCCTGGAATGGTGCAGCCTCCGCCGGGGCAGGAAGGGCAGCTCTCGCCTCCAGGACAAAGGATACTGGCTGCTTCTGTAGGAGCTCAGGGTCAAAGGCCATGCCCCGAAAGAAAGGATGGACCTGGAAGTGATACAGGTAGCGCAGGCGCTGGGAGGGGTTGTGGCACAGGAGCTGAAGGGAGACAAAGTGCGAGGGGCTGTGTGAGCTAGGAGGCCAAAGCCCAGGGATGTGGGGAAGAAGATGGGGGCAAGAAGGCGGGGAATGACCATTTGTCAGTCAGGGACCAGAGGCGATTCCTGTTAGCTACAGGCCAGAACCGATGGCCTCTGAGGGCCCTTCTCTGGGATACTGGGATTCTGTGTGACTGGGAGAAGCAGCAGCCCAAGAGCTGAGAGAAGCCAATGAGATTGAGGCATTTGGGGCATAGGAAGAGCCTAAGTTTCAGGCAAAATGAAATCTGCCTGGAGGCCAGTGGGAAGCACGCCATGAGGATGTTGGGTTCTCTCCCAGAGAAGGGAGCAGCAGTGGTCTGAGCCCAATCTGCGTGGGGTAGGGAATTTCACGATGGCCTAAGGAGGGAAGGAAGCGTCTGGGGAGACAAGCAGAGCCAATCAGGAGCTGGAAGGAATAAAGATCAAAGGGAGTGAGAAAAGAAGTGAGGCAAGCCAAGCAGAGCTGGAACCTAGGCTGTAAAATGTAAAGAAGTGAAATTTCTCAAGTGCACATGGAAGGTGGGATTCAGAAGCTGGTGATCAGGAAAGAGTCAAGACAGGGCTGCTCTTACCTCCTGGAGCAGAAGAGAAAGCCCCTGGCTAAGAGAGGCTGGGACCTCATAGTCCCAGCGAGTGACACTTGCCAACATGGCCACGTGATCCTTCTCAGCCTGCAACGGGAACTAGGACAAGAAAGAATGGGGCTGGAACAGGCCGCCTGTTACAGAGCCTTTCTTCCTCCCATCTCCACTGCTGACCTCTACTCGCAGGGCAAAATCTAGGTTAAATGATGGGGGATATAATTTCCCCTCTCTTTCCCTACGAAAGATTTCCTCCTCCATCCACCCCTCCAATTCTTACCTTTCCAGCTGCCAGGGCAAAAAGTAAGATGCCCAGGGACCACCAGTCAACAACATGGTTGTAGGGCCCGCCACTCAGGACTTCTGGGGCTGCAAGGAGAAGAAGTCCCAATCAACCAATGAGCCGAGCAGCCAGCATTCATCAAGCGCCTACTATGTGCCAGAAACTACTCTGCTGGGAGCCGGGCACATACAGACCCAAGAGAGAAACGATCTCTACGGGCCAGGACTTTCCATTCTAACGGGGGAGACAATAAATGCACATGTAAGTACATCCCAAATAAACATAAAGAGAACAGATGTAAACAAACACAGAAGAGTTAAACAGAAAGGTAACTTGGAAGAGAGGCTCCATGAAGAAAGTGGTACTTCTGTGATTTGGGAAGGCAGAGGCGAGCACTGAATTCATCCCAGACATGGGGAATGGCCCAGGCAAAGGTCATCCTTTGTCAGTGCAGAGGAGCAAGAGAGAAGACCCCGGGGGCCACTGCTACCCACCCTGACCACCCAGTCCTGTCTCTTGTCTCACCCATGTACTGGAGCGTCCCGCAGATGGTATAAGCTCGCCCACCTTGGGGCAGATGTCTCGATAGGCCAAAGTCTGTGAGCTTTAGGTGGCCTTTGAGGGAAAAGGTGGTCATTAACACCACACACACACACTCTCTCTCTCTCTCTCTCTCTCTCTCTCTCTCTCTCTCTCTCTCTCTCTCTCTCTCTAATATACAGGAATTAAAGAGATTTACCTCTTTCATCCAGTAAAATGTTCTCCATCTGAAAGGTTATAAATAAAACATCCAAATGTACCCTTTCCCATCTTGATGTCTTCCTAACCCCTACCTAAAAAGGGTACCCAACTCCATGTCCCTTTCCATTTTTTTGATCTGTCCTAAGAACATCGGGGGGGGGGGGCGGCAGGGCAGAGTTGGCTTTGTCCAGCTTGATCACACTAATACTAAGGCCATGAGTAGTTCAAAGGTGGTTCTGGGTACTTGGGTGGAATTCTAGCCTCCCCTTCCCATGCAGGCTGTCCATGCAGCAGGACGGAACATGCACTCTACCTTTAGGTCTCGATGCACAATGCCCAGGTCATGTAGGTAGCCTGAGGAAGAGAACATGCTTGAAATGTTCTCCTCCCCCCTACTTCCCCCCTTGCCAGGTCCTACCCTTTCCAACTTCCTCATGGACCGCCTCATGCCTCTGTCCTAGCCAGGCCCTGTCAGCACCCATTCATCCTGAAGCCTCACTGGGCCTGGCCTCTCCATCCCACATGGGGATGAGAGCTCCCCCAACATGCTTTTAGGGCCCATTCCCCTTGTGCTCCACTTACCCACACCCAGGGCCAGCTCAGCAGCAAAGAGGCGGATGGAAGCCTCAGAAAAGCAGCCAACTGTGGTCCAGAGAGAGTGCAGGTCTCCTGTGCTATAGTAGTTGTACACTGCAAAGGAGCCCGGGGTCAGGGTCTTGCTTTGCCTGGGGCCCAGGGTACCAAGCTCTTCCTGCCCAAAACGGCACCCCCCTTTTCTCCAGGGCTGAAGGGAGATGGTCTTACATCCCCAGAGACGGGTAGGGAAGTGGGGGACTCCCCTCCCACGGGTGACAGTGTCAGTATGGAGACTTTGGGCAGGAGGGCTGAAAGCAAAGAGAGCAGGGAGGAAGGCTCACTGGTGAAGAGGTGCCGCTGTCCCTGCCAGCTGCCTCCCAAGCCACTCACAAAGGGGTGGCGGATCTGGCGCTGGGGATGAAGAGAACAGGTGGTCAGGTCAAAGGAAGTCCTTGTTAATGGAAGAAGGGGATGAGCCAGGCACCACCTGGCTGCGCACAGAGAGACTGTCTGGCTCATCCCTCAGCTGAGATATACATGTGCAATTCCTGGCCCTGCCAACTGACCCCTACCCCAGCTTGGCACAAGGAGGGCCAAAGGGCTCCCAGGCAGGGTACAACCTGGCAGAGATGAGGGGATGTCTGGTCAGTGCCTAAACCACAACGCTGAGCTGGAACTGTTAGCCAGGAGTGCTATGTCTATGAGCTCGTATGAGAACAGAGGCACAGCCAGGAAGGCCTCTACAATCCACAGGGTTGGGCCAGGAGGGAGCCCTCCCAGCGCGAGGGCTCTGCCTCCAGCCCTCAGTTCTGAGTCCTCCTGGGGTGCTCGGTACCTACCTGAATGCTGACCTCCTCCTTACATTGCCTCAAACTGTCTCGCTGAAGGACTTCTACCTTGGGGACCACCTGTAGTGGGAGGGCAGAGGCAAAAAGGCACCTGAAACCTCCCCCACCTCCTGTTCCCTCACCCTGGGGACAGGACAGCTAGAGGAAGGCAGTGAGGAGGAGACAGCAATAAAGGCCTTTACCTTCACGGCCAACAAGGCCCCCAGGCCACAGTCCAGAACCTTGAGGACAGTCCCAAAGGAGCCCTTGGCCACAAACCCCAGGACCTACAGAGAAATGAAGAGGAAAGCTGAGTTCTGAGGTTCCCAGCCTTCCACGGGGATGCCACAGGTAGTCTTTGCTGGGGACCTAGTGACCCACCTTCAGCTGCTGCTGCCCCTGGGGAGGCCGGATAGGGAACTCGGGCAGGAAAAGCGAGATGAGCTTCGGCACTGGCCACTCAGACAGAGGCTTCTCTGCTGGCAGCAGGGCTGGCTCCAGGGACCCCAGATGGGGGTACTGGTGCTTCCGCTGTCCCCACAGCCGGTCCAGGCCTGACAGGGTGGTCCCCACACCTGACAAGAGTCTCTTCCAGCCCCGAACCCAGGGGCCCTGGATGGGGGGGATGCTGTCATCCTGCTGAGAGCCAAGGTGAGCTACACTGAGCTCCCTCCGCCTGCCCAGCCTGCTTTTTTCAGCAGGTGCCAGCCCCACGTGGGGGGCCACTCAGCACAGTGCAGTCAGCTCTGTGTACCAGGCTGTATTCTCTGTTCATCAAACACAGCTTGGCATTGTCTAGTACTGGGCACAAAGCCAGGTTCTCACTCTCGTGGCTCCTGCACAAACCCCTTCTGCACATCCTCTGCTGGGACCACTCAAGCCCTCTCCCTTCTGGTTTTTTCATGGCTCTCATCCTGGCCATCCTTACTATACTCCCCACCCCCCAAGCCCCAACACTTCCCCCACCCTTGGCATAAAGTCAAAGCTGCCCCTAACTGTGGGCTGGTGCAGCTCTGGCCACTTACCTTGTGGGGAAGGGTCTGCTGGCTGCCTGCTACTCCCATCCCGCCAGTGGCTCCCCAGCTGCCAGACCCCTGTGTCCCAGTTACATAAGCAGGCCCACCCCTTTGTGATGCATCATTCATGAGCCCCACCCCCAGCTCCATTATGCATGGTGCCTGCCTCCAGTTCTACTTAGACTTATGGGTACTCATTCTTCGAGAGGAGAAATGCCCCCCCACTTAGGAATTAGTGTTTAAAATGCAGGCCTGCTGCTTCCTCATCACTGAAAGGGAGCAATGATTCTAGGCAGCACAGATGTAGCAAGTTCTGTCAGAGGAATGCCCAGGGACACAAGGGATGGGCAGAGCATCTTTCCCCAGGCCACAGCTATGTAGCTGGGGCTGGGACTACCAACAGTGAGCACACAAAGGGAGGTCCACGCATTGGACAGAAGCACCAGACAGCATCAAATTTAAAATCATCTTTCTTTCTTTCTCCTTAAATCCCATTTTGTTACCACCACCACCACCACCACTCAGGGCTTGCCCAAAGGGAGAGGGTAAGGGACCCATGGCCAGCTCTGGCACTCAGTGTCATCCTCCCAGCAGAGCTTGGCACAAGGACTGGGTAGGATGGGAGGGTGGTCCCCCCTCGAGCACACAAAAACCCCTTTCTGTACAAGGCTATAGGGGGTAAAGGGGCTCAGAGGGGATCACGAACCCCACAGCTTCCTTCCCCTGGCACATGGGGAGAGGTTACACATAGAAAGATTTATATCTATTTATAAAAATGTAACACTTCGGCTCTGCATCTGCTACCCCTTCCCCATTCTCCTCCGGCCCCAGGGGAAGGGTCCAGTGCCTATATCCCTGCTCTGGGCTTTGACCCTGATGCCTCTGATCCTGAGCCTGCTTCACACAGGAATTGGCGGCACGGTGGCATCAGCCACTAGGCCCTCCAAGGGGAGCGGCGCTGCCTCCTCCTCACAGCCCACCAGGGGTATCATTCCCTAAGGCCCCCACGAATCCCCAGGGAGCAAGGGAGAGTTCCACCCCCTGCCCCTGCCCTGAGTCACTTGGACCCTGGAGCCTAGGGCCAGAGTCCGGTTCTGCCCCATGGGGGCTTTCCCTGCTCATTTTCTCCTGCTGAAAATTGACTTTTTGCTAGGGTTCTTGTCGCCCACACTCAGCCCAATGAGGAGCCGGGCTTTCTCGTCTTCCTCCTGCTGCTGCACGTTCAGGTCTGACTTTGTTTCAAGCTTTCCTCGGGTCTCAGACCCTGCAGCTGGCTTCAACCTTAGCTTCTCCTTGATTACCTGGGAGGATTGGGAGAAAGGGGGTCGAGGGTCAGTGAGTCTGACAGAAAACATTTAAGTCTGCTTAGAGATACCATTCACTGGGCTTGGCTTTATGGCGGCTGCCCTGCCTTCAAGTTTATAATCCACAGCCAGGTCCCTAATGAGTAGGAGGAAGGACTCCCCTGACATAGTTGCATGTATTCAAATTTTCACTATTTGAAGATATAATCATATAAAATATGTATATGAAATGTGGAAATATGCAGAGTGAAATCAAATAATGCTACCTCATCAGGGGTTTAATTATTGACACGAATCAGGAGGTAGCTGGAGTGGCCTACCTGAAGCTCCCCCCATCAGCACCTTGTTCTAAAGGCTCATGTTCATACGGCTGTTTAACAGCTTATAAGAAGTTTTTCTTACAACAATCCTGTGCGGAAGGTATTAATAAATATACAATTTTACACTCTAAAGTCTAACAAAGTTTGCTTTCTTTATACCGACCCTGTAAGAAGGGCCTTTATAGAATTTAAAAAATTGTCTTTATAGACAAGAACACTGAGTTGGAGTGTGTTGGAGCAGAGACTTGAACCTGAGTATTCTGACTCCCAGTCTTTCCACCTAACCATTCTGTTCCCTCAGTGCTATGAACAGAGTAGAAATATTCAGCAGGTTATCTGCTGAATGAATTAATGAGTCATCTAAACACAGTCACAGGGGAAAGGGGAGAGGGACTGGAAGCGACAAGCAAAGGAACCTCTAACCTTGCCCAAGTCTGTGCCTCGGTGCTGGGCTGTCCACGAGCTTGCCACAGACCCCCAGGCCCCACTGACCTAGCAAGCCCAGCCACACACCTGGGCAACCAGGGCTTTGCGGCTATCCCTCTTGACAGCCATGGCGAAGTCCAGCCACGTCCATGTGTTGTTATGATACTCTAGACATGGCAGCACGAGATTAAGGTCACCCCAATCCACACTGTTCTTCTCACCCTAGCGGGGAGGGGAGAAACACAGAGAAGACTCATGCGCCCATCAAGGAGCAGCCCGCCCACCAGCACTCTGCAGAGACCTCTGACGCTGACCGCCCCTCCGGACACAACAGAAGCAGGCCCCATAGCTGCTTAGGAGAGAGTGCTCCAGAGCTCACCAGGCATTCTGGCTCACGGATTCTCAACCAGCTCCCAAGGGAGCAGAGCTCCCCCCACCAGCCCCAGGATGCCCAGGGGAGCTCCAGACCTTGTAGCTGACACAAAGTGGAACCTGTGGGATCTTGATGTAGATGAAGGAGTTGTTCATGGCTGCCCGTTCTTTCATTTTGTCAATGTCATCCACGGGGTGCTGAGGAAGGCAGAGGAAACGAGAACCATCCAGGAGTCATGAGTGAGCGGGAGTGTCGCTCACGTGCCCCTCCCTCTGCCCTCACATCTATCCCAAAGGAAGCAGGGAGAGATTACCCTGAGGGGCCTTCCCACCATCCCACCGCAGAGTACCTCAGGTGCTCTGCGGAATGACCTCCTGACCCCAGAGCCACGATTCAGGCCCTGGGCCACACCCTTTCCGGGGCCCAGAGACACTGCATCATCTGCTGTGATCAGCTGCCGCGGCTTCACCACTGGCATCCCTACAAAAGAGCAAGCAGGCCAGCCATCACCCCCTCTCCACGGCCGCGGCTCCTTCCTGGGGCTGCCGCCCCGCTCTGCTGGAGCCCCATCCTGAGGCCCTCACCCGTAGTCACAAGTTTGGACTTGTCCTCCTCATCGCCGACTTCCTCATCCTCCATGCTACGACCAGGAAAGAAAAAGCCCATCATTCTATGGAAGAACTGGTGTGTCAGCTGGATGGTAAGGGGAACCACGTTGACCTGCAAGAAATGTAGGCAGCAGGATGCTTTAATGTCTGTCAGTCCCTCCAAAGAAGTCAGAACCGCTCCAGAGGACCCATGGTTAACCAAGTTTCCACCTCTTCACAAAGGTGACGGATGGAGGGTGCAAACTGAGACATGCTCTTTAGACTCGGCCAACGTGGGAGTTTCTTTTGCTTCACTGTGTATATTTGATAGAACGGTTTGGTTTTTCTTTCTCTCTTTTTTTTTTTGGGTGGTTCAGGGAAGATAGAAAAGAGAAGTTGGATTTTGTTCACCGAAAACAAAAATAAAGTCAGTTTCTTATATATACAAAATCAAAAAATCATACTCTGATAAGTGGTCAATAGATAAGAAAAACGTTTCTCAAAAGAACTGCAAATTACTAATAGTCATGTTACAGAATGCTCCAAATCCCTAATATTGAGAAATTTAAATCAAAACAACTCTGGGGTTTCATGTCACACTCAACATAAACAAATTGGAGAAGATGACAAAATATGGAAATAGTCAACTTTGGAGGTCTTATGCAGAGTAATGCACGCTAATGAAGTGCTGACGGAATTGCAAATTGGTCCAATCTTTCTGGAAAGCAATCTGGAATTATGTAAAGAAAGTGACTAAAATGTCACTTTGACCCATATATTTTACTGCTAGGTAAAGAGGTCCCCAAAAAGGTCAATGACAAGACAAAAAGAGAGGCGTCAAACACACCAAAATATTCATAGCAGCAAAGAGCTGGAAACAAAGCAGATGTCCATTGACCCGGGAATGGTTAAACAAACTGGGACGTGAATGGAAAGGACACAGAGAAGCCTGGAAGACATACATGAGCTGATGCACAGTGAAGTCCACACAACCAGGAAAACAACACACACACTGACTACAGTAATGGGAATGAAAGAACAACAAAATAATCAGAACTAAATGCAGGGGAAATGAAATAGTCAACTTGGCCCCAAAGAGGAGATATGAGAATGCCCCCTGGAAGGAGTGGGGGACAATGGGAGTGGGCTACTGCTTATAACATCGATGTGTTGATTAGTTTTGTTTTTCTTCCTTTTTTCACATTATAGGGGATCTTTCTCTGGGAGGCAGTGGGGAGAGGAATACAGTGGGAAATATAAATTATACAAAAATAAAAATATTAATAAAAATTTATTTTAAAAAAAGGCACATGAAAAACAGAGTGGTTGCTCTCCCTTAGCCAAACCCTGCTGTAGAAAGAGCCCTGTCTTTCACTCCCCCTTAGATTCTCCAGGAGCCAGGTTTACCTCACCTCAAAGTGCTCCTTGACGGAGATGCCCCCGACAGGAGGCCGGACTTTGCTGAACAGGCGCAGGGCCAGCTGCCGCCCAGACTGGCAGGAGCTCTGGGGCCGCAGCACCACCTGTGGGGTGTGAAGGGTCAAACTGAAGATCCACCCAGCACCCTTTGGCACCTACTTTGTAGGGAGAGCCAGGTGAGAGGCTTGCAGCACACTCTCTCCCTGCTCTCTGCAGGCGGGGCAGCAGGAAGGACACTTGCCTTGTAGACTGCGTTGGGCAGGAGGTTGTTCATCGTGAACCAGCCCAGCTCCAGGAGATGTTCGGCTGTGTCATCAGACTTGTTCACCTGTTAAGACAGACACGTCCCCCTGCAACAAGCTTCTCCCAGGGCTTTGCCAGAGGCCCTCTCCAGACTGTTGGCCTTGGCACTACCTTGCTATAGAGGAATCGCTGGAGCTCCAGTTCGGCAATGCCCAGCTGCCCATCTTCCTCGGTGAGGCGCCACCGTGCCTGGGCAAAGTAGAACTCCGTGCGGCGGGCCACGCTCACATCCTCCTGCTGCTTTCGAAGTTCCATCTTGTTGGCCCGTTGGAGCTGGAAGTCTTTAAAACACCTGATGGAGTGGCAGCAAGGTAAGGAGACAACAGACAGAGCCAGAACCAGCTCGGTCAAGCGTGTGCGTTAGGGTATCCCACACTCCAGATAGATTCACCCTCCAGTCTGAGACCGTCCCCCGGCCCTGGACTCAGTGCCCCACCCACAGGGCTGCACGAATCCCAATCCTGTTTCTCAACTCTGGTCTATCAAGAAGCCACAAGCTCTCTCTCTGTGACCAATGCCAATATTTAAGTGGCAACCACACTCTACTGCTGAGCAAACTCAAGATAGAGTTTCAGGGGAAGAGCCATGGTTTCAAGGCTCCCAGCCAGATGGGACTTGGCTC